TGCAGCACACGAAGGCATACAAGAAACAAACATCGCACAAAAAAAGTGACACGATACTCCATTTGCTGGCCAGTGCTGAATGTGCCACAACTGCCGGTCTCTAATATGAGTGCGAAAGTGCGACTCCACAATGGTACTTTTAGTTTCATATTCTTACCTCTCCTCCCTCTGTAAACCTTTTTGACTTAACTCTAAACAGTATCACCTGAAGTAAACCCCTGGTAATGTTGCTCGCTGGGGTAGCTGTCCGAATCTAGAGAAGGTTAACTAATCATGACAATCCACGAAAAAAATATTCACGTCGTAGCACCAGAGGAAGTCCCAAATCCTACTGGTGTATGAATCTGGACGCACGTTAGGCGAAAGCCTGTTTTCGTCCTAGAAACCTGACCTGACCTGACCTGAGATAGACTTAAGCGACTCAAACTCTTTACCGTTTTCTACAGGAGACTGAGAGGGAACTCAATATTGATACACAAAATAGTATCAACGCAGAGTCACCCAAACAGCGAACTAGTAGCACTATCACCGCACCGACAACTGCGAAGACCATCTTGCACCAGCAGAGTAGTATTAACAGCAGACGGTTACATTTCTCCATCGGGGCTTGTAACTCTACCCGAGGAAGTGGTCTCTGCGCCTACGACAGCGTGCCTCAAGCAAAGACTAGATAAATTCGTCATGAGTATCACCCCGGCAGTGGACAGCAATCTTCAGTACCCTCGAAGTAATGTTAGGTGGACCTCTGCACTGTCCACGCAGCACACCTCGTAAGGCATGCAATTCGGTTCAGCTAACTGACTACTGCACACTAACATTCTGCCTTTCAGAAACTACTGTTGACTCGAAGTTTTGGAAGCCAACGAAACTGCCAACAACACAAGTAACTGGACTCGCGATTGGCAAGAGCCACAATTCGTCCTGTGAGAAATGAACTGAACTGTACTGAACTACAGGTAACTAACCTGCTACACCGTCAAGAGGTAACCTACTAACCTCTGCTGTGCCTACAATTTCAGATTACAAAAATAAACGAATCGAAAACGGAAATTTCCGAACATCGGACTTTACCGTATAGATCAAGAAACAGACAAAACCGCAAGCCAACGAGCTTTCTTCGTCTGTAAACTGGACATTGGGCCACATTTTGGACGTATTACGAAAATCTTTCGTTTGCAATGATTGATTTTCGGGATAACTGTTTACTTTATCGTTGAGGAGATGAAATCGTCACTTGCGATCCTGTTGTCCCTTTGCGCTTTCACATTCCTTTTCTGCTTTACTTTACTTATTTCATCACTGGAGAGGAAGTATGGTAATTTTTAATATTATTGATATTTGTCAGACGTTAACAGTGATTACTCGCATTTTCGCGCAGCTGCAAAAAAATCGCTAAGTTCAGTAACTTTATATATTGTCACTGCCACCTACAAGCGGCTTGTGCAAAAAGCGGAGCTCACGCGACTTTGCAATACCTTCAAAAATGTACGAAATATCCACTGGATTGTTGTTGAAGACAGCTCGGAAAGACAAAAGTTAGTAGTCAGTCAAATGCTTTTGTTTATTCCTTTTCTGTTTAGTGACAATAATTTAATGCTATATCACCATTAATTTATATATTGTCATAGTTTCTTTTCTTCAGTATTAACCGTAGAGACCAGGGTACCAGCTGGGTCGGCCGCTGGGTCTGAGGGCCCATCACATCCAGTCGTCCCTCCACAACACCGAAGG